GGCGCACAAGAGTTTTGCCAAGCTCGGACCGAAAAATCAGCATTGAAAACACCAAAATGGCTAATGTCACAATCAGCTTCGCTTTTTCAATTGAATCAGCATTTTTCTTTTCGTGCGTCTCATGTTTGCCAAGTTGATTGATTTCGGAGCAAAAATACCCGCTCATAGTACTACCACACCATTAAGGAGAGTGTTAATACCTTAGCTTACATGAGACAGGTGTTACATAAAACAAAGGTACTCTTACTTGAGCACAATTTTTGGCCACTCTTGCCGCCTCTGTGTATGACTCAGGAAGCTCGTTTTCGTCTAGCAAACCCTCCACTGGAATATTCTCTCTGGGCTGCTTTTGTACTTTCACAATGTGGCAGACACACACACACACACGCACACGCACACGCACACACACACACACACACACACACACGAATCTAAACCAGGTGTCTGAAAAGCAAGATCAAAACTCATCTGATATCGGTGGAGCGCATGGAGGTTCGTCATAAGTCCGCCAGAGAGGCGAAAACAAAGACCGACGCAAAGTTTAGGAAACAAAAGAGCCTCAGCTGAGCAGATCATGATTTATTTTATGTCGAACTTGTGCAAACGTGCAGTCGATAAAATAATAGCAAAAAAAAGGACCTCCCAAAATCGGATACGCTGAGCTTTTCTTGCATGTAGAGAATTCCGCCGCGAACGTGCGGCAAAAGAAAGAGGGCCAAGGAAACTGACAAACGGAAGAGCGAGCCAGTGAGTGAGCGGCGAATACTCGGCGGCGCGTACGCGAGCTCAAACGCTCGCCCGTGTGTCAAACTGTCGGGCGGCGTCGGCGGAACAGACGAATCCCCCGAGGCCTTCAGAAGAGGAAAAGTGGCGCGCCGCAGTCACTGTGAGCGCGGCAAGAGGGGAGGCCCGCGGACGGTTCAGAGGCGACGAGAATATCGAGCAGCAGAGCGGGAAATAAGAAGGCGGGAGGCAGGCGGGGGATGGTTGTTTGCTACGGGGGAAAAGGGGGGTGGTTGGGGGGGAGCACGAGGCAATCTTACCAATGTGATGGGAAAGAAAGAAATCAGACGCTAGCTTGGTCACACAAAATCCGGGAAGCCCGAGACAGGCCCTTACGATTCAATGGGACCAAATCATGACATCCAAATATTCATATGGACCGATGGCGTCAATGTGGAAAGACTCGGGTGGCCAACTTATTTTTGCACAAAGGCTTATTTCAATCACCTGTATGATTTAATTGCTGTTCATCTTCCAAGCACTCTTACTTTCCCGTTTTTTGTCACGTCGCGTCATTGAAACTGTGCAACAGGATGACAACGTGGGCATGTGGACTAATCTGGGCAAATCATGAAAGGAAGCCTCGGCACTGCGCTGACGGGTGAGACGCAAGGATGCTTTTCACCTAGTGGGACCCAACGCAAAAAAAAAAAAAAAACAAAAAAAACGCAAGAAGTCTTGTTAGTGCGCAGGCGCCACCCGTCACAACCACGCGACACGCAGACGTGTCAACATGTCAAACAAACAAACAAAACATCCCTCAATCATCAGTTCTGATACGAGAGCGGTACGGAAATAAAATCTAAATCAGGTGTTGAATTTATAATCGGAAAAACTTCCTGCACCATCTGGCCCAAAAAGGAGCAAAGGGAGAAGATTTTGGCAAAAGCTTTGTTTATTTATGTTATTTATTTATTTTTGCTATCGCCAGGTGCGGCCGAGCCCCTGCTGTGATTGACATGATTTCACGAGCTATGACTTGAGGTACGAGCGTGGCTTGGATAAGGCGCCACTGCAATCAACGCACTTTCGGTTGTGGATGATTCTTCCTGAAAATGGATGTATGCACCAAAGCTGAAAATGGCGCCGGGAAAAAAATAAACAAACATAACTACATCACTCCTATCAAAGCGTGCAGACCTATATTTGAAAGGACTAAAAATGCCATTTACTCCCCGTAGCGAGAAGTGAAGCCACTCGGTCAGCTTGAATATTCGGTGGCATTTTCACATTATATTCTGTGTCTGGAGCAAAAAAATCAAAATAAATGCCAGACAGTGTGGCGTACAGTTGTACCAATAAGTTTGGGAAGAGTTCAAAATGCACATTTCATCGGTATGAATGCAATTATTAATTGTGTCTTATCAAGATAATTCTCCGAATGCGACTCAAAAGACTCGTCCGCATCACATCTTCACCATCATGAACAATAAAAAAATATGCAATCAGGAAATAAATAAAGCTAACCGTTGACAGTCACAATTCACGATACGGAGATAATATGCTCTGATAATATGCTCTAAACCCCCCCCCCCAAAAAAAAACAACAAGACAGTGACAGTGTTTTCAGTGACAAAAATAGCAGAAGTCTGTAACAGTGGCAACGTAAGATGGCCGCCCTTTGGCATCATCCACGAGTGGGCCCTTTTTGCAAGTCCCAAGCTTGACCAGATTTAATGTGTCACGTTCATTCATTCACTTTTACGCGGGCACCAATGACAGGTGAGGCTGCTTTCTCTGCCACGCCCCTTAAAGGCACACATTTGAGCTCGAGCTCGACTTCACAGCATCTGTGACCGCAGCGACCAAGCTCACCGACTCATTTGCTTTTAGTATTTGATGTAGATAACGTGTAGGCCCTTTTCAGCCATCGTGTGGCACTCTTTACCTGGCCTGTGTATATTCGTTCTTCGGCTACACCATTATTTCATCATATTTAACGTCGTCCTTGACTTTCACTTTTGGCCCCGGTGTGCGACACTCGCACGTCACTTAGATGAGTGACAAGGTGGAAAACTTGTGTTTCCTTTCCACTCGACAACTACGCTTCATTTTGTGTTACAACAACACATGAAAGCCCAATCAAGTACATCCAACGCTACTTGTCAAACAATGACTTTCAAATACGCTCGTATCCCACAAGCCTGCCGATACGAGCCCCGATTGTGCGCTCGCGTTTAACGTTCATGAGTCCACTTCAGCACCGCGTTTCCTTGAACGTGAACGACACTCGAGGTATCCGCGAGTGGACCTCAGGCCCGTCTGTCCTTTTCTTTTGTAAGCGCTTGCAAGGATGGCTTTCTGTGAATGGCGCTCGGTGGGAGAAGACGATGAAAGGATTAAGATGAGAGGAAAAGGATGACGGAACACAAGACTCATTTCGGCTTGCGGGAGAGTCGTGGACAGGGGATGCACGGATGTCTTTTGCTTGAACAAAGTCCCAATTGTAAATCTCGAGATGCCTTCCTAAAGTGAAAGATCAGATGAGATTTAGCCACAAGACAAAACAAATCAATGAAACAAGATAGGAAAGCTCCTTCAAGGGAAAACTCCTCCAAGGCCGTACGCCGAAACCTTACATGACTCCAGGCTTTTAAAATGGCTGTAACAATAGCTCAGATGCTAATACAAATTCTATGACGCTTAACGGTAAGCATTTGATCCCAGCGGTGAAGGAGCGAGCGTCTCGGAAGAACAATTCTCATGGTTAAGCGACTTCAAGATTCGGTGACACCGCAACAACTCAAAAGCGACATGTGCAACCTGTAAAGCTTTATGCTAAGCTAGTGTGTTAGCGGCTGTGTTCCTGGGACTATACAATGACGACTGTGGCATAGTCAGAAATATAACATTCTTAGCCGTCAGGTTATTAAATGACATCACCCTCCTGGACGCATTTCACCTTTGGGAAATTTATTCAAGCAGTCGCCGGAAAGCAGAAAACGTGAGCCCTAACGTGAGAACTAAGCTTTAATGCATAGCCCAGGAGAAAAGACGTTTGTCTGCCCTTTCATCCCCATCGTTACTCTCATGGCAGAAAATGGCTTTTGCCTCCCGGAAGGAATTCCCCGATACTGGCAGAATAATGTTGAACTGCACCACCTTCAAATTCCACATTTAGCTATACCGGATGTTGGAGGAGTTCTACGAAATAAACTCATTGAAATCAGCAGCTCTGAATGAACACGCGCATGCACACATCATCCAAGAGAAGACTAGCCTAAGACTGATTTTTTTTTTTTTTTTTTGGTCATTTGTGATTGATGAAGTCTGTCACGAGCGCCCTACAGGATCCCCTCTTCAGTCATGATATTCCACCTCTGATGGATTTCCGCGTGTCGGTTTAGGGGAAAAAAATATGCAGTTGGATGAGTGCGTGCTACTACTATATGCACTGAGAAAAAGCATGTGGTGTCGATTTCGGAGGAGCGTGCACGCAGCTTGTCAACTTGGAGTGAATGAAAAGCATATGTGACAGCGAGAAGGTCACACAAGCAAGCCGTGAACTGAGTGGAGACGAGCCAGAGAAATATGAAGCGCCAACTGTTTCTCTCCGAAGTGGCCGAGCGGCAAGTGAAGAGCGAGACAAAGACAACGAGCGAGGCTCCGGCGCGCATTCAAATGAGACTCGAGGAACAATTTCAATTCCGAGAACGTACCCGAAGGAGCCTTTAAATCTCGCCGCCTCTTATTGGCTTCCTGGAGAGCCGCCAGATGACTCACGTCACAGCCTGAAATATCGACGCACGGCGGCCACTTCATTAGGTACCCCGGCGTTGTACATGCGCTGCGCACAAACGCGGGTGACTGTGTCGCCACTTCATTAGGGACACCTGAGGAGCAGCAACGGCCTCGCTCAACCAGGAGGATGCGATGAGGAGCTCGTCGACAGGTGTTACCAAGGTACTTTGTGCTATTCGACTGGCACTTTTACTGCAGACATTTGCGCGCGACAGGCCCGCCCAATCACGCAAAGAGAGCGGGGACGGCCGCGCCCTCCGACTCACCCACCCTCCACCCCCACCCCCGTCACGAAAAGGTGCACCCATTCATCTAGCCCTCACAAATACACGTGGCGTGCGCACGCACCGACTTGCACAAATCTTCCAAAGTTCCATCCATCCAAATCTGCTTCAAAAAGCGTCCATAGCAAGACAAAAAATGAGAGAGAGAGAGAGAGAGAGAGATGCGAGAAAAGCCAGCTGGATGCCTTTCACCTGCCAGGTCGTCTTCGTCCTCCTTCAGTCGCTCCACGTCGTCCCTTTGACGTGTAGTCGCTTATCCTGACGCAACTTGCCGCTTCCCATAGGAGGGCGATGGCAGGGCAAGGTGCCCGTCCCGTGGTGCTCTCGGTTGGTTTCTGGCTCTGGACTCAGCTGCCTCTGTGCAAAGCAGTCCTGCAGCAGCAAGCTGATTAAAAAAAAAAAAGGAGGGGGCGGTGACAATAGACCCTCTTGCGCGTCCAGTCCACTGGGGATGCCGCTCATCTGCTCATGTGAAGGCGTCAAAATGCGGCGCGTGGAAAGTTCCAAAAGCATGAAAATAAGGAGAGCGAGCGACCAGCTCTCGCCGCGTTGCAAGCAGCCAGCGCGTGCGTGTGCTAAAAGCTCTTGCCGCGCTATACTGCGGGGTGGGGGCGGGGGGGTGCGCAGAAGAAATGAAAAGCGGCAGTCAGATCTCATCTCACCAACACGCGCAGAGGGGCTGACAGACTGCGCATAACGAAACAAGGTTGATTTCCAATGCGTGTCAAAAGGTCGCTTTATTAGGTACAGCACATCAGCTTCAAGGGCAAGCAAAATATGCTCAGCACACACACACTCATCATTGCAAATGGTTGGAAACTGATTCAGAAACACGCAGATCTCAACACTACGAAAACTTCCATTTCTACTTCTACGCGCACACGCACACACACGATCAGCGGAAAAATGTAAAGACTTTCCGGGGTCCCCAAGTGGGGTCGCCCCTGTGAAGAGCCCCCCCCCACACCCACCCACATACACACATTCGACACATTCATTACACTGTTCAGCAGCAAATTTTAATCACAGCTGGCTTAATGTGTCCCCAAACATATTTTTGACGCCAGTTTAAAAAAAATATTTTTGAGCACATCAAGGTTTTGACATTTTTGCTGGACTTGTTTGCTGATGTTGAACCAAGAAAGCATTAGCTTTAGCAAAATCCCAGGCCACCTGAATGATTGTCCAAGAGTCCCAGTTCAAGAAGTGCCCTTCTAAATAGCCATTCTGTGTGCTCATCTATTTTTTCCCTCTCACCAGCTTCTGCAAGAGAGCATTAACTGGATATGTTTGCATTACTCCACAGAAAGAAAACTGAATCCTGATCGGACATGCATATTCTTTAAATTTTAATCGGGCAAGTAGATGTAATAGAGTATGCAATGTTAGGAACAAACATAATTAGTAGAAGGGAATACCGACACGGGCGATTAGGGGCTTCTTCTTGCCTCAATAACGGCAATGATGTCTTCCGCTATCGCAGTGGTTCTTAACCTGGGTTCGATCGAACCCTAGGGGTTCGATGAATCGGTCTCAGGGGTTTGACGGAGCCTCTGCCATGGAGGTTAAGACACACCCGACTGAAGATGTCAACTAGTTATGACACGCCCGCTTGGCCATCGCTGGCTGCAGATGATCACATCACATTGCTTGTCCAATCAGTGCTGTGGGAAATTTAGTTCGCTCAGTCGTCACCGTGTGACCGTCATGATAGTACGTCATACAATTAAAAAAAAAAAAAAAAAACGATACTTATGCCATTTAATTTTATTGATTTAGTTCTATCAAAACATCAGCGCATCGCACACATGCTTTACAGGCTAGCAAACATTCAGCCAAGAAGCATCAGAATCCTTTCGCATGCACCCAAAAGCAGGATTATTGGAGGAATAAAGCTCCAAGCTTCCCTTAATCCCATAATGGTCGCTTGAACAATCCCATTGGTAAAACAGACCGTCCTTCACTGTTTTATCCAATTCATTGAGAAAAACATTTTGAAAAAGTGCTATTGTAATATTGCGGCACTCCCTGTAGTCGCGTGATTTGTCTTCAGTCAGACTTGTGTTACCTATTTTTAGGACATGGGACTTTGCTGAACAGACATTTCTGGAAGACTCTACCTGAGTTTGACTTGAAGCACAAGACTTGACAAGTCTTGCCTATTTACGACTGAAAGGTAGGATTAATTTGTGAAAAGAATTTTTTTTTAGTACAGGGTGCCGCTCTAACCACTTGTTAAGATGAAGAGGAAATCCAATTCAAGTGAAAAACAAAGCGGTTGAATAGACGCTTTTCCCCAATGACATTTTTCTTGTGTGGACTTTCCAGCGGCAGTAAAATCTTGCGAGTAGCAATGGGGGTATCATGTTCATTTTTTGAAAAAGACACAATCTGTGATCTATGACATCGAGCATGGTTCCAGAGGGGCATCATGAAACTGTGTGAGGCTTTATTTATCAGATTTGCATATATTTTTTGTTTTCTTCAATGTTAATAAGGATGTTATACAGAGGTGTACTTATGACAATTTTATAGACAAATGATACAATTTATAGTTGTGGCAGAATTAGGGTGGGTGGGCGCAAAATATTTTCTTCTACCTAGGGGGAGAATAACAGAAAATAATCCATCCGACTCTCACCCGCATAGCAGTGAAAGGAAGTACCATGCTTTCTTTTGCTTGAACCCAGGGGCAGCAAAAAAAATAAACAGCAGGGGTCCCAAAATTGAACCCTGTGGAACATCACACTATGGGTCAGAGTGGCTTTCAGGGCATCCGAGGCTAACACAAAAAGTCCTGCCAGCCAAATGCGACCTAAACCACTCTAGAGCGCTACCACTAATGCCGAACTGGTATTGCAAATGAGCCAACAGATGAACGAATGAAACCCTCTGATGAGAGGCGCTACGTTGAAGATAACCACAGTGGTCCAGTTGCCATCTATTTAATGCCCGAGAATCAGTATGGCTTGAGTTTCCTTTGCATACTAGGAATAGATTTACCGCACAGTTCTCATTTTTCTGGCTCAGGGTATAGTCTGTGAGACAAGTTGCTGGAAAAAAAATAAAATGTTGGGAGTGAGTTACGACTCATACAGAGTGATTCTAAAATTAGATTGGAGGGCAGGGTGGAGGTTGCGCACACACAGATGGACACACACTCATTATGATTCTCAGAAGCACGCGTTCGGAATGGGCGAATCAATCATGAATGATTTCAAACATTATTATTAAGTGTGCTGAATACATATGAAGGCATTTGAGCAAAGGACGAGCAAAAGATATGAATATGATTATTAGAACAAAGTAGATGGTGTGGACCCGTGTTCAATTTAGGGATGCTCCTGGCGGTAGTTTGAAGTGAAGAAGCCTTTGCATAAAATCTTTGTCATCCTTCGTCAGACCCCAAAAGACAAGTCACATAAGCTTGGAAGTTAACAAGGTCGACTGAAGCAAAAAAAGTCGTCTTGTGAAAATGGCCCAACATTATTTGACGAGATCTAATGGCTCCACTCAGCGCATTGAGCGGCGTTTCAGCCTGTCGAGAGAAGCCATCTCTGAAGATAAATTGACTAAATGAAAGATTTCATAGTTCACTCCATAAGTGTAGTCAGACGCCGAACCTTTAATATACCTGAGAGAAACGATTCATTTGGCGATGAGAGATTCAAACTGAAGATCATTTGGAGTGTGACTGACCAGTGGCAAAACTCAGACAGCATTGTGATTGGAATTTTCACAAGTGGAAAAGGAGCCAGACTGATTTGGTTCAAGTTCAAATCATGTCTTGTTTTTTTTTTTTTTTTTCAAAATGGCACAGGTCTGCACTGACAAAAATCACCCGCGCATGAGGGGAGCACGACGACTTGTCGTGTAAATAGTGTCAAGCATCGCATAATCCTATAAACACATGGCTTCCACCCAAGCGATCAATAGCCACTCACATTAAACAACCACAGCATCTGATTCATTCTATGAGGAGGCTGCCATCTCTGTTTTGGGGGCTCTTGTGATGTTCTAAAGAGGATACACACGCTGATGATGCAAAGGAACGCGTCTCCAGACGCCGATGGGCTCATTCATCACAAAAGAATGCCACAACAAAAGCTTTCCCATCATGCCTGGGCTATCCACGAGCCTGAAACTACTTCAGATTCCAGCTGGAATGTTGGAAAAAAATCAAGTACTTCATTGCACGGATGAAGCATCAAAACAATGCTCAAGGCGTGTTTTTTTTTTTTTTTTAAAAGAAAAGGCTTGCTCCTCTTTATAGAGGATCGAATGAGACAATTCTATTCAGCTGGTAAGAGACCGGCATCGAGACTGAGCATCATTCGCATTCACCATGTTGAAAATAACAGCAGACTAAGACCGGGTGGTTTAAAACATTAATGGCAACGGTTTGTCACAAAAAAAAAAAAAAAAAAAAAAAAAAACGCCGACGGCCAACCTGACTGAGTTGAAACGTCACGCAAGTCAAAATATTTTTGTGGAGACTTTTGGAAAATGCTTTGCCACCATCCACATTATGTTCCAAAGACTTTCTAGTTGACTCTGTATAAACGAGAAGTGAGCAAACACCGAACAAAAAGCCTCCTGGTGTGTTGTGACTCAGTCTCGCGGTTCCAGGATGGAAATAAGAACGGAAGCTCGGAATGGAAATCTTTTGACGAATCTGACTCATGCGTGGCTCTTGGGCAACCCCCTGTGAGATTGGAAACATCATCATTCCCCGAAAAAGGGGACTCCTCGGGATTTCTGTCAAGGTCAAAGTTGAGTGAACGTAATTGGTTTTCCCACCACGCGTTCCAATTGGATGCCAGATAAGAAAATCTCAGACAGATACTGACAGAGATAAAGATTACGGGTGTTTTGCTCATGTAATCCAGCACGGGGGTTTCATCTCGTTCGGTGAGTCTTTGCGGCTACTGTCTGCACGCTGAGTGGATTAAAAATAATAAAATGGTGCAAAAATTATCTATTTCCACTCCAACCCAAACAGCAGTCGTTCTCATCTCGTTTGTCCGCTCAAGACCGCTCAAATCACAAACCGGAGTGAGTAGGCGACAAATGACGATACATGGCGCTATCTGTGTGTTACGATGAAAGCGCCACCTGGGTCAATCCTTGACCAGAAGCGACTGGCCTAGTTTATCTGTGAGTAATCTCGAGTGAATCTCTCTTCATGTAAAGAGAAAAACATTTTTGACGGCTTCCCAGGCCCAAAGCGTTCTGTCTGAGAGAGCGGCTTGTCCAGACTTAGAAGCTTAACACCACCTGAGAGATACGCCAGGGATGTTCAATTCCCACACGAACTCGACGGATAGGTAAAACTCATAGCTTGAAAAGCTCACCAGTCAGATACGCAGCTCAAAATGGGCGGGT